GTGAAATAATTACTTTTCCATTTAAACGCCCCATGTTCAAGCCAGAATGAAAACAAAGTGATTTAATAAAATTGTCTTTAAAAGGGAAAAGAGGAAAATAAATGCCTGCTCTGCTCCCCTCCCTGGCGTTCAGGGAGGCCCCAAGCCCTTCAAAGTTAATTAAAACAGGAACTAAAATCACAGAATCGCTTCCCAATCCTTTTCCCATCTCTCTCTGCCTTACAGGAAGGCAGCCCCAGAGCTGCTGCTCAGGTCTATGCCTGAGAGTAGAGTTCCTCCTGTTGTAAGTTTTGATGTCCCCCGGAACCAACCCGCATTCTCAGCAGGCACCTTGGCCTCCCTGCACCCATGTCTGGGAGAGGCAGCTCCGTCCCCACTGCCGTCCTCCCAAAGAGTCATTAAAGGCTTTGTCTGGTCATTTGAAGTCCTTGATGGACACTGGTCCCCACCAGAAGCTTCCGGCCTTGCCTCCTCCCAGGAGAGAGCCAGCCCTCAGCCTCTGCTGCTCCCCCACCGCAGGTCCCTTGAGCCTCCAGCTGCTCTGAGCTTTATCTGTCTTCACTGACCCCCTGGCCCAGTCCTCAGCTCCAGCCCAGCACAGCTCCGGCTGCTTCCGCCTGGTCTGGATCTGTTCCCCATCAGAGGCCCCATTGGAGCTCTAGCCCTTCATCAGCCCAGATAAAAGAGATGGATGGGGGTGGCTTTGGGGGATGCCCCTCCTCACGAGCCAGAGGTAGAGCTCTGGGTTCTGAAGAGGACTCCCTGAGGAGCGCTAGGGGTGGGGGTGAAGACTGCTGAGCTCTCTGGAAGCCCAGTCCCTGATCATCTCTATCCTGCCTCAGCCCTTCCCCTTTTCCTAAGGCCCAATTCCTAAGGCCTCCTCCAGGCAGGTGCCAGGACTGCAATCACCCCATTCTCCAGCACACCCACTTCAGCAGGAAGCCCTGCACTGTGCACCCTGCCCCCATCTCCATGCGGAGCATCTGCCCAAAATAGTAATGCATAGAAAACTGACGTTTGTTGAACACCTATTTTGTTCCAGACACATTGCTTATAGATCTCTAATCCTTGTCACAACCCCCATGGAGTAAATTTTATCACTATATTGCAGAAGAGGACACAGAAGGAGGAAAGTTAAGAAACCTACCCAATGTGTGCACTTAAAGAACAGTAGAGCTGGCTGAGTGCGGAGGCTCATGCCTGTACCCCCAGTTACTGAAGATGCTGAGGACTGCTCTGGCTCAAGAGTTCAAGGGTGCAGTGATCGTGCTACTTTAGTCTGGGTGACAAAGCGACACTCTGACTTAAGAAAAAAAAAGACAGTAGAACTGAGGCTTAATCTCATACTGCAAAACCTCCTGTGCAAAAACTATTACCTTTCAGAGATTACTGCCCCGACCCCCACTATTGCCCCCATAACTTAACCCCTCTGAAGCCAAGGAGATAGGCCCAGGAGAACAGTGGGGCCTTCTCCAGCCCTACTCCAGCTTTTGAGGTGGGGGTAGCAGGAAGCAACTGTCCCTAGAGTCCTCAACCCTTATCCTGGGAGACTCCATTACTTCTCTCCAGCTGTCACCACTTCTTATAGAGACACTGTCTTTTCTCCCAGGGGACTCCAAGCCTCATTTCAGTACCTTCAAGTCCACCCCAAGGTCCTCCCCACCAAGAGGATGGGTTGAGATTTGATCGTGGGGTAACCCTTGTCGCCACAACTGGACTTTCATAATGGTTCACCCTGTCTAGAGAGCCTTCAGTTGCCCAAATGGCAGAGTAAATGCCAAACCCAAATCCGGGCCAGGCACAGTGGCATGTGCCTGTCGTCCCAGCCACTCGGGAGGCTGAGGCCCAAGGATGGTCTCTTGAGCCCAGGACCTCAAGTCCAGTCTGGGCAGCAGAGCAAGACCCTGCCTCGAAAAAGAAATCAATCAGAAAACTAAATCCAGGCCAGGAACTAGCTTGCGGTTTTAGCACACTCTCCCTACCTCACTCCCTAACCAGTGAGGACACAGCCCAGGGATCTAAGACCTCAATGCTGGGGAAAATAAGAGGCCCTGAAGAAAGGAGAAAAAGGCAGCGAAGGGGCAGAAACCCTGTTAGTCCAGCAAGGGAGGGTGAGAAGGAAGGGGAGAGGTATGAGCATTACCATAGACCAAGGGGTAGGGTGGCACCTGGGGACTCCCAGACTTGCCTGCATCTGGAAAGCATCTAGCAAAAACAGGCAAAGGAAGAAATGATTCAGAAGCACCTTCCCACTTAAGCCCTAGAAGTGTGTGTATGTGTTGGTGAAATGGGTGGATATTCTGTGACCTTTTCCATGTCTATGCCCCACTCTGGTTTTAACCCCCTTGGGTTGAGCCCAGATTGGAAGCTGGTAATGACAGCTGGGTGGGTGATGACCCAGGTGGCTGGGACAAGGCTTCATGGGACGCTGGTGTTGTGAGCCCCACCCCACCGCGCCCACCACTTAAGTGAGTCACCAAAACCAGGCCAGGCCCTGGAGTTAGCTCTCCTCCTCTGCCCCCAGCACATCTGGGAGCCAGCTTGAGCAGAGAGAGGGCTAAATTGGGGCCCAGCTTGGGGAAGGGAGGCGGGGGTGGGGAGGGAGGAATGACTCCAGGAGATGGTTTCCAGGCTCCACTCCCAGATGTGTGTATCCCTGCCCCCAGAGCCTCTATCTCTGCCCTGGCCCCATCCCAACTCCATCCCCAATCCCAACCTCATCACTCACCTCTGCCCCCTTCTCTATCCCACCACCCCACCCCACCCCTCCCCAAGTGTCCTCAAACCACCCCCCATTATCCTGGAGTGACTCCTAGAGCTCACTGCCTCCCAGCCCTGATCCCTCCCAGTTTCTAAGAGCCCTCATCACTGACCTCAGAGAACCTGGCCCCTTACCCCCAGGCTCCTAGACCCCACTCCCACCCTTCCACAGCACTGAGCAGAGGCAAGACTTGATGTGAGTTAACAGTTCCTTACCACACGAGGACTTACACAGCTGTTCCTGGTTTAGAAAGAATTCAGTCAGCTGGGCGCAGTGGCTCACGCCTGTAATCCCAGCACTTTGGGAGGCCGAGGCGGGCAGATCATGAGGTCAGGAGTTCGAGACCAGCCTGACCAACAGAGTGAAACCCTGTCTCTACTAAAAATACAAAAAGTTAGCCGGGCATGGTGGTGGGCACCTGTAGTCCCAGCTACTCGGGAGGCTGAGGCAGGAGAATCATTTGAACCCGGGAGGCGTAGGTTGCAGTGAGCTGAGATTGCACCATTGCACCCCAGCCTGGGCAACAAGAGTGATACTCCATCTCAAAAAAAAGAAAGAAAGAAATTCAGCCATTCAGAAGGCTGAGGAAATAACCAAAGTGCATCCTCGGAGGCAACAGGCCTATGTCTCTAGCTTCTTTCCCTCTGACCTCAGCTTCCTGCACAGTCAGAATAGGGCTCCAGGTGATAGGACCTGTGACTGGGAGTAAAAAACCAAGGAATCTCCAGGCCTACTAGAGTTTAAGCCTATCTACTGCTTATGCAGATACATATTAGACAGTATTACACGTGCATGTGCACATAATCCTGGAAATATAAACATACACAATTAATGTAAGTACAGCTAGTGCTCGACTTAGGACCACAGTCGAGACCGCAGACAGGTCGTAACACGATTTGGTCATAAGTTGAATAGGCTATATGTACAGTTGAAATGGTGCACGCGGAGATGGTAGTGCTGCCAGAAGCTGGTCCGCACTGTCGTATGCCAACTGGGCAACGTTTGCGCTGCCAGACACGGAGCAGTTGTGGCTAGCAATTGTGGTCGTAAAGTAGAATGGTCGTAAGTTGCATAGGTGGTAAGTCGATCAATACCTGTATATATACACATATCTTAGATGGAATGTAAGTTCCATGAGGGCAAGAACAATTTTTTTAAGGCTCTGTCACCCAGGCTGCAGTGGTGCTACCATAGCTCACTGCAGCCTTGAACTCCTGGCTCAAGCAATCCTCCCGCCTCAGCTACCAGAGTACCTAGGATTACAGGCATGTGCCATCACACAAAGCCAGGAGTTTAAAATTTTTTTTGTAGAGATGGGGCTTCACTGTTTTACTCAGACTGGTCTCAAATTCCTGGGATCCAGTAATCCTCCCACCTCAGCCTCCCAAAGTGCTGGGGTTACAGGCAATTTTTTCCCAATGATGTAGCCCCAGTGCTGGTATGTAACAAATATTTGTAGAAAGAATGACACAGCCAGGCATCATGGCTCATGCCTGTAATTCCTAGCTACTCAGAAGGCTGAGGCAGAAGGATCACCTGAGCCTAGGAGTTTGGGGCTGCAGTGAGCTATGAAAGTGCCACTGTATTCCAGCCTGGGTGACAGTGCAAGATCCTGTCTCAACAAAGAATGACACATAATAGAATATATACTTGAAAATAAATGTCTATATATACATATAACAATACATCCATATATATTTTTGCATGCACATACATACATACAAAACCTACATGTAGGCTGGGTGTGGTGGCTCACTCCTGTAATCCCAGAACTTTGGGAGGCTGAGGCGGGCAGGTCACTGGAGGGCAGAAGTTCGAGACCAGCCTGGCCAACATATTGAAACCTCATCTCTACTAAAAATACAAAGAATTAGCAGGGCATGGTGGCGTGCACCTATAATCCCAGCTACTTGGGAGGCTGAAGCAGGAGAATTGTGTAAACCCAGGAGGCAGAGGTTGCAATGATCCGAGATAGCACAGCTGTAATCCAGCCTGGGCGACACAGTGAGACTGCATCTCAAAAAAACAAAAGCCTACATGTATAATATATCCACATACATATATATGCATTTAAATAACCCACATACATATATTGTGACATGTATACATGTATACATACAATGCACATATAACCATGAATATATTCAATGTTTGTTACGTATAGATATCACACAGAGATATCATAGTAATATATGCTACACATACATGTGCACATTCATATAGATTAAATGAATACAAATTGAAGCATCTTTTTTTTTTTTTTAACTCAGATTTTTCCAGGTCAAGTAAATTGTCTCAAGGTCCCTGGCCCAGGTCTGAATGTTACTACCAGAATGATCCACCAGATAGCGCTCCTTCCCCACTTCCTGTACTTCCAAGTGTTGCCAGAGATGTCGCCTATTTCCGCTAAAACTCGCAGAGCCAGGAGTACCCCTGGCGCTTCCCCGCACGCCACCGCTCGCGCCCTCCCCCCAGCCCCCACCAGCGTGGTGAGCGTGTCCTCGGTCCCCAGGGTCTGCAGTCTTGGCGCTCTCTGAGTCGGGTTTATCTTTCCGGCTTTCAGGCATCTTTTTGAGGGTCACTCTCCGGCTTCGAGCGGAGAGTTCTGCTCAGTGCGCACAGCGACCCCCGGTCACCAGAGCCCCAGGGGCTGGGCTTCGCTCGGACACCCTCGGTTACGCAGCACGGTTGCGCAACCCTTCTTTGGCTTCTTCGCGGTTACAAGCATCCAGACGAAGCGGCCCGCCTCCTCATGACAGCCCGAGGAGGTAACCCGCGGTGGTCATTTGCAGACAGCCCCCTCTGGCTTCCTCTTCACCCCCTGCCCTAGGTGGAGGAGAGACGCACGCCCAGCCCGGCTCAGCTAAAAGCTGGGCGAAGGGCCCGGCTGAGACCTGGAAGCCTAGGCTTGGGAGGGGCTGGTCCGAGGAACCCTTGCTGCCCCGGTTGGTCCTGGCTCCTATGAAGAAAGCGCATTCCAGGGTTCCTGGAATTGAGGACTATACTTTGAAGCGGACTATACTTAAAATCTCGGAGTGGGGGAAGCAGGGTGCGACTGAGCCTCTTCCGCCTTCAGGCCTGGGCAACTCTGGGTTAGAGCTCCTGGAGCCTCACATCTCGGGTGTGAGCAACCTAGGACACAGAACGCGGGGATGGCTTGGAAGCCCGTGGGGAGGCGAAGCCGGGAGTTCTGACAGCGGCTCAGCCTCCCCATCCTCCTCCTTCCCCCTCCTCTTCCCTCCCCCGGGAGCAGCAGGAAATTATTTATTAAAACGCCGCCCGCGCTCTCATTTATTTGCGGTGAATAATCCTCGGCATCTCAGCACGTTTATTAAACCTTTCCCGTCCCCGCGCCCGCATTACTTTAATAATAAATCGCGTGTCACTTTCCAGCGACGTTATTAAAGCGCGTCCGCTGCAGCAGAGGCGGGGTGCGGGGAGGGAGGAGGCGGTGGGCAACAGTTCTCCCATTCCAGGCTGTGGGGCTTGAACTAGCACGGCGGTGGCGGGGGAGGGGAACTGAGGCTGCTACGAGGCTGCTCCTGAACACCTACAAAGTCGGCTAACGCGATCTAGGAGTAAGGATTCCCCCGGGACCTACATGACCCTCTCCGGTGGGGTGGGGCTTTTGGCGAGGAGCCTCTGCTCTGCAGGTGGGCGCGGTAGGAGCTATGGGCCCGCAGAGGGCGCCTTGGAGCCCAGTTCGGCGAAGAGCAAACTAGGGGGCGGATTACCCGGTTGATACTGGGACTTACTCCCATGTCCCCTCTTTCAGCGCCCAGAGGATTCTGGCCACGACGCCGAACAGCACGCCCCACCCCCGCCTACCCCTCTGCTCCTGCTTCGGTGGTCGCCCTGGAATCAGCTACTGGTATCCAACCCGCTTGCGCTGTTGCGCGACTCCAGGGACCGCCTGGCTTCAGCCCGGGTTCGGCAATAAAATCTGTCCCTGGCTTAGGGACCGTGGGCAAGGCAGCAGTAGATGGAGTAGTGCGTAGCCGCAGGAGGGGCGGCCAGGCAAGTCCTCGGGTTGGAGTTCCGAACCACGCCCCTCCCAGGAGACCGGGCTCCCTGCGTTCGGCCCTAGAGGACAAACTGTGACGCGGATCCAAGGGCAGGCCCTCCCGCAGTGGCGCCAGGATCCTGGTGGAGCCCTGGCGTATGAGGCCGTTGTTATCCACGCACAGCATCTCGGCCTCGCTGACTTACGCTTTCATTCTCTTCTTCAATCATTAAATACACATTGAATCTCACCAGTGTCCCTGGGCTAGGTGAGGAGAATGAGGAAAGAGACTTGGGGAGCCCAAGAATGTGGTTCTGGGAGGGACCCCAAGCCAGATAGGACAGGTCACAATTGGGACAAATAGGAAACAGGCTTACTATGGCTCCGGGTTCTGCAGGGAAATGAGTAGATGCCTATGGGAGCTGGGGAAGGGTATGGACCACACAGGTGACCAAACTTCTGCTCCCCTCTATCCAGTTTATGCTTTCATTTCGGGGGGCTATCCACATAGGCCTGATTCCCCATTCTGCCTGGGGAAGTGTTTGGCGTAAGATGAGCACAGAAGCAGGTATCTATACCAGCCCCAATGGAGGGCAGACTGGGATTATGCCTTCCCTCCAACCAGATGGCCCCACCTCCCTCCCTCAAAGGCAGGGTAGGCCCAAGTTCAAGCCTTCTCTCTGTACATCTGGCAGGCATGTGCTTAGAGAACAGGCCCTGTAGCTTCTGGAAGCCAGAGTTCTGCTAGTGTGGGAGGCCTCCCAGGGATATTCCATTTTCATGTGCACAACTGCATAAACTGTGTGTGCATCTGTGTGGCCCAGTTCATTAGAAATCTTTATTGGTGCCTAGCCCTGTGCTAGGCTTTGCCCAGTACAGAGTGGTATAAGATCTGGAGCTGGCCTCGCCCATCTCTCTGCGCTGAACTAAGCCATGCTCCACTGCACTCTCTCCTGTACAAAAGACAGCAGACAGCAAAGAGGACTGCAGTTAGTAGGTGCAACTGGGGCTTAGGAGAGAGGGAAAAGTTCTGGAAGATGACTTTGGGGAAGAGGTAAACAAGCTAGGTAAATGTTGGGGACCAGGAAAGAGCAAGAACCAGGGCCTGGGAGGAAGAGCAGTTAGAAGAGTGGCTGAGCAGGGCTGGAAGAAGTGGAAGATCCTGGTGCCTGCACCTCTTGTGTCTGCTCCAGCCCCCACCCCAGCCTGGGGAACAGTCTGTTGGAGGTCCTACTGGCCAGGGCATCTCCTGCACGGGCTCCTCTGTACCCCACAGCTCCTGGTCTCAGCCTCTCTCCCTATCGTCCTCCAGCTTTTCTCTCTCCCCTACCACCCTGCTACCTTGGAGTCAAGTAGGCCTCCCATGATCACCCCTACTGAGAGCATGAAAGCAGTCCATGAAGGGACCCTGCTCCCCTTTCCAGGCATTTTCAAGAGCAGGGATGAACACTACAGGCGCTCACCCACCCCCATGGGCCAGAACTCTGGATCTAGTAGTAATCACTCTCTTCACTTTCAGCCTCCTCCTCAGGAACCAGGTTTAGTGATCGCAGCTGGGGGATTCCTGTAGAGTTGAGCTGATCTGCAAACACACATGGGCAAAGGACAGAGAACAGGAGAGAGGGGCTGTCATTGCCCACATAGCTCAGTCTGCAGAAGGCTATGCTTGTGTATGCACCCACAGGCACACAGACACATGGATTGCTTTTTATGCATTCACAGCTGGACTCCAGAACCATCCCTCCCAATCCCCGGAGCTCAGCGATCCCCTTACCAGGTGTGAGCACTGTCAAGCTAGCAGGGGCCTCCACCTGACCCAGGGCATTGCGTGCAAGGCAGCGGTAGGTGCCCTCGTCGCTGGGACGCACAGCTTGGATCTGCAGCCAGCCAGTCACCTCAAACCTCTGGGGTCCACCCCTAAACTGGAGCCAGGAAAGGAATCAGCAGGGTCCTTCTGGAGGGCCCTGGGCTGCCTGAGGGGAGCCTCTCCCACCGGTGTCTACCTGCACGGAGATGTGGGGGTCATCCCCTGGCAGCTGGATGTCCAGGCCATCTTTCCTCCACTCAATGGAGGCCATGGGGTAGGCAAACACCTCACAGCCAAAGATCACATCCTGCCCTGTCACATTCCAAGTGTCATAAGGATGCGACAGGATCTGGGGCCCTGGGGATGAAGGTGGGATATCTGAGAACAGCATGGCCCAGCAAAGGCATCTGGTCCGGCAAAGACATGATACACAAATTTTTGTTGACGTGCTTGTGGCAGAACACAATATATGCTGATGTAAATACATCCATAAACACACCATGACACACACAGGTACACACAGATGTGGGATGCAGGTACACACAAGAGTATCATGCAGATGTGGAGATGTACATGCACATGTGCACACAGAACCTTATGCAGATGCAATGCACAAACAAGCGCACACACCTACACTGTATCTTGGCAGCCACTCTGTCCCCAACTGTTCCCCTGTCCTCATTCCACCCTCCCCAGGCTTTCCTGCAGTGCCAGTAACCAACACCTCCAGGCCCCCCTTCCCCCTTTTCTAAACAGGCCCAGTTCCCAAAGGCAGGAAGAGCAGCCGTTCCCTCCACCGCACCCCCTGGGGGTGTCCCCCGGCAAGGCCGAGAAGCTGAAGCTGAACTCTCGAGACAGGCAGGAAGCCTGCAGGAGAGCAGGAAATTGTTGGGACCCTGCAGAGTGTTTGTTTTCTGGCTGCCGCAGCCAAGCCAGACCCAGAGCCAGGGCTCAGGAAGTGAAAGTTACTAAAGCCGCCAAGGAAAACTAGAGGCCTGAATGTCCCCCAGTCCCTGGGGATAGACAGAGAGAACTAGCTGAGCTCCCCGCTCCCATTCACTAATCCCTAAACGCAGGAGAAAAGAGAGAGGTGGGGAGACTGGGTGAACAGACTGCTCTAAGAATCTGCCCAAATGAAACATGACTGCATCTCACAGAAACCCGTCTTGCTGCCTGGACTCCACTGGTCTGGGAAAAGTGTTAGGGTCTCAGAGTCAACCATAGGCTATGTGCCAGCACCCTCAGAGGACCTGTCCCTCCCTGCCAGCCAGCTCTGGAGCTTTCACGTGGTTCAGCGCATGCAGCTTGCTGAGGAAGCCTGGGACACCCACTCCACTCCATCCCCCACCCCCACCTTCAGGAGGCAGCTTCTATGGACCAGTAGCGAAAGCAGGGTTTTATACTGGACTCGAGACCTCTACGGCCTTATCTTTTTTGCTCTGCTGGCCCGAGACCAATGTCGTCTGTGGTCGGGGAGCAGTGCCTCCAGGAAGCTTAAGTGTTGGGGGTGGAGGCCCCGGGTCGTTCATACCCGATTCGCAGGGCCCCGGGTGTGCCACAGTGAGGTTGGCATCGGGCCGAGCTCGGGCCACCTCCTGCAGGCGGCAGATCTGGGCGTAGGTGTGACCGTCGGACCCGCAGAGCGGGCGCTGCGAGCGACAGGCACACAGCGGTTCTGGCACCTCTCCACGGCTCAGGTCGCCGCCTGTGTCCAGCCGGCACTCAAGCTCCTCGCCGCAGCCCCCGTAGAAGTGAGCATTGGGGTCAAGGTCGCAGAGCTGGCCCTCGAGGTTGGCGCATTCCCAGCAGCAGCCGCATGGGTCACGCACCAAGCCAGCCAGGCAGCCCCGCGGCGCGGCGCACTCCTCTGGCCGGCAGGGAGCGCAGCCCTCGCCCTCCGCTAGCAGCCGCAGCCAGCCGCGCTGCAGGTAATCGGGGCCTGGGGACGGCCTTGCGCCGGTCGGGGACGGCGTCCGCACCACCAGCAGTAGCAGGAGCAGAGGCAGCGCCAAGGCAGCTGCGGGCAGCGGCGGCATGGTTAGCTGGAAGCCCTGCGAGCACTCGGAGCATCAGCGCGTTCTCGGCACCCTGCCAGAAAGGGAAGCCAGGTCAGGAGGTCAGAAACAGGGCCTGTGCCGAAGGACCAACCTCACAGCTTCTTATACCAAAGCATGACGCTAGCATCGCCTCCTTCCCTGCTACCAAGTTGACTCCCCCAACACAAAGGCCTAGTGACCCTCTAGGGATTATCCAGTTGTGGCAGTTGGCAATCAATTGGGCTGTTGGTGGGGGGGTCTGGGAGTGAAGAGAGGTGAGGAAGGATGATAAGGCTCAGGAGCGCGCATGCACACCCACCGCCAGCACCACTTCTGTTCACCATCCGACTCCGATGCCCCTGAGCATCCTTGCCCGAAGAGAATCGACGGCTCCAGAAGAAGCTGTTAATGGGGGGTGGGAACTGATGCCCCCTCGTGTATGGCCTGGGGCGCAGGGTGCTCACCTAGTATCCTGGACTACGCCCTTCGGAGAAGCTATGATTCGAGTCCGAAAGAGAGGATGATGGAAAGAAAGCAGGGGTGCAGTCAGCCGGGCCCGCCAGCCACCTCTGCTCCGGCCTGAGGACTTCTGAGAGAGTCCACGACTTGGATTCAGAAAGCAGCTCCTCCGCCCCCCTCTCTCCGCCCCTCGATGTCGCGCACCCGCCTTCCCACTAGTTCTAAGGCTGCCAATTTTATGCAGCCGCAAGGGACCCTCCTGGGCCATTTCCCCCAGCCTGGCCCAAAGTCACAATGCAAGCAGAGGAGCCGTAACCAGACACCGAGGCTGGGAGAAAGGAAAGGGATGAGGACCGGAGGCGGGGAGTGGGGGTAGGAGTTTGGCTGGGAAGCTCAAAGCATTGGGTGAACCGCTAGGCCTCGTCACATCTAACTTTACAGTCCCTGGCGTCGGCGAGGGCAACTGCATTAGGGGGAGGCGGCAGGAGCTCTGGTGCCAAGTCATTTTACGATCGATGTCGGGGCGCTGTTGGAGGGCAGGACCAACCAACTTCGTCTCCCCGCAGCCCAGGGCTGGTTGCTGGGAGCGACTGCAGGCTTGCCCACCCAGCTGCCCTACTGAGGCGCGGACAGAGTGGGCGCCTACATCTGACTTCCCTCATCTGGCCTCCTCCTTCCTCCCCACATCCGGCAGGTGCTGCGACCCGCAAGTGAGCTGGGTGATTTGAGGTCGGAGGCTACCAGCGGCCGCAGGGAGCAGCGGGCTGGCGCCTCCCCGGCGGACGTCCCTCAGGTCGGGATTACAGGTTATGATTGTGAGGCTGGCAGGGCCGGAGGCACTCAGCCTCGCGGCCGCCACCACCGCCACCGTGGCACTTTGGGGCGGGGATGAGAGCATTCCTAGGGACCCGCCCGCCAAACCCGGGTCGGCCAGGCCCCGCCCCGGCTGGTCCCGCGCGGCTCACTGAAGCTGCGGCGCAGTCCAGATCGCAGAGGGCGGAGAATGCAATCTGCTGCCGTCGAGGGGGCGGCACTTAGTCAGGCTCCGCCCACAAGGCCAGGCTGCGGCACCCTTCAGCCCGCGCGAGATCGGCTCCGCATGCGCACTGGAGCCCCGGTGGTCCAGCCTGGACTCTTTGAAGAGTGCTTCTGAGCTTGGCCAAGCCCTTTTGGGCTGCCGAGCCACGCAGGCGCCATCGTTGGCCAGAGGGGTTTTGAGGATGTGGGCAAGGGCAGATATTCTCTCCCAGTCTCCAATTCGAAAGAGGGACGAGAAGGGAACTTCACGCGAGGTCCTCGCAACTGTCGCGAGAATCAGAACAGGAACTCTAGGAACCGAGAACACTAAGAGCCCGCGGATTTTAAACAAGAAAAAGAAAGGGCGGAGCCAGCCCTGGCCTGTAGTTGTGAGTAATCCCTGGTCCTTGGCCTTCAAGGCAACTGAAGTGGCGACCTAGGCAGAAGGGTAACTGTCAGAGAGCTGCTGGAAACCCTGAAAAAAGGCCAGAGACGGGGACTTCTGGGGCTGACGAATGGAGTTACCCAAGGAGAGGTCTCTGGGGACGGAGCACCTTGGGTAACTGGAGCTACAGAACAGAAGCAAGTTCGGGATCTCTTAATGAATTGCTCCCGGCTTCTAAGACCTGGAGCCGATATTTCAACAACAAACTCCACAGACCTAGAAACTCTTCACTTTTCCCACTATTGTAGCTGGTTGCATAATTTCAGTCTTTGCTATGCTCTAAGCTTCTGGTAGGAATCGTGCCTAACTCACTACTGTATTTTGTGAACCTAGCCCCGTGCCTGGTGGCATGGCAAATTCTTGGTAAATATTTGTGGATTAAATGTGAGTGAGACTGCCTGAGTGTTTAACCTGGATTTTCTGAGCCGCTGATAGAGAACAGTAGACAGGGAACCGGCGCCCTCTGGTGGGCTAGTGGTTATTGACGAGAACATCCTTGAACCATGCATCGAGGTAGGCACAAATATAATAAAAGGGGATCCGCTGTTGTTAAGTAGAGGTTTTGTTCCAGTAAAACCCCACAAACGGCCGGGCGCAGTGGCTCACGCCTGTAATCCCAGCACTTTGGGAGACCGAGGCAGACGGATCAGCTGAGTTTGGGAGTTCGAGACCAGCCTGGCCACTGCTGGTCCAGCCTGGGCGACAGAGCAAGACTGTCTCCAAAAACTAAAAATAAAAAATAGAATTTTAAAAATAAAAGAATGAAAAGGGTCCTATACATATGAACAACAGAAGATGAAACAGGACATACAGAGTCATTGTGTAACTTGGTTAAAAAAAAAAAAGAAATTAAAGGATCCACATATTTTAACCTGCTACTTCATGAACTCTGTTTTGAAACAGCTGGTGAAAATAGTAGAGTTGCAACTCTGAAGAAGAAGCAGGAGTGAAACAGATGGTCCATACTGACCTATTAGAGATGGATACAGAGGAATTGGGTTTCCTTTGAAGATTAGAATTGGTTAAGTGAAAAAAAAGCTCAACATAGATGATTCAAGTGGAATACTTTGTAGCTACCTACTGGGACAAATAGGCGAAGTCAAAGAAAATAATGTATGTAGTTAAAAAAAAAGATGAAAAGTACCTGTGGAAAAATAAGGTTAAGAGAAAATGAGGACCCGGTGTGGTGGCTCACGCCCGTAATCCCAACACTTTGGGAGGCCAAGGTATGCCCTTCACCTGAGGTCATGGGTTCAAGACCAGCCTGGCCAACATAGAGAAACCTTGTCTCTACTAATAATACAAATATTAGCTGGGTGTGACGGTGCATGCCTGTAATCCCAGCTGCTTGGGAGGCTGAGGCACGAGAATCGCTTGAACCCCAGAGATGGAGGTTGCAGTGAGCCGAGATCACACCATTGCACTCCACCTGGGGCAACAAGAGTGAAACTCCATCTAAAAAGAGAGAGAGAAAAGGAGAAGTATATGGATACTGATCACAACTGTATATATATTTATCATCTATATCACCGATAAACACCCTAAAAGAATTTGGAATGAGGCTGACTAATGGTTGAGTGTAATACTCACTACTCCTTTATTTTATAAGGTTGTTATTATTATTATTTGAGATGGAGACTAGCTTTGTCACCCAGGCTGGAGTGTAGTGGTGCAATCTCAGCTCACTGCAACCTTGGCCTCCCAGGTTCAAGCGATTCTCCTGTCCCAGCTTCCTGAGAAGCCGCCAGCTTATTTATTTATTTATTTATTTAAGTAGAGACAGGGTTTTGCCATGTTGGCCAGGCTGATCATGAATTCCTGGCCTCAAGTGATCTGCCCACCTCGGCCTCCCAGTAGAGGCTATTTTTATATGTAAATTAGAATGTCAAGATAAATGTAGCAAAGTTGGGACAGCCAGGTAGAAAGATTGGCTGGGTGTGGTGGTTTACGCCTATAATTCCAGCACTTTGGGAGGCCAAGGTGGGTGGATCACCTGAGGTCAGGAGTTTGAGACCAGCCTTGGCAACATGGCAAAACCCCGTTTCTACTAAATATACAAAAATTAGCCCAGCATGGTGGCATGTGCCTATAATCCCAGCTACTTGGGAGGCTGAGACAAAAGAATTGCTTGAACCCAGGAGGCAGAACTTGCAGTGAGCCGAGATCACACCATGTATTCCAGCCTGGGCAACAGAGCAAAAATCCATCTCAAAAAAAGAAAAAGGAAAAACGTAATTCAGCTACAAGTAGTGTTAAAAATGAAAACTGGGCCGGGCGCAGTGGCTCACGCCCGTAATCCCAACACTTTGGGAGGCCGAGGCGGGTGGATCACGAGGTCAAGAGATCGAGACCATCCTGGTCAACATGGTGAAACCCCGTCTCTACTAAAAATACAAAAAATTAGCTGGGCATGGTGGCGCATGCCTGTAATCCCAGCTACTCAGGAGGCTGAGGCAGGAGAATTGCCTGAACCCAGGAGGCGGAGGTTGCGGTGAGCCGAGATCGCGCCATTGCACTCCAGCCTGGGTAACAAGAGCGAAACTCCGTCTCAAAAAAAAAAAAAAAAAAAAAAATGAAAACTGGACTAGCCAGGAACTGGCTCTTGAATACCTCGACATTAAGGCAAGTTGAATAAGCTTCAAGACATCTAGAAGGAATCAGGCCTCGGTATACCTTCCTGTATCTCAGAAGGCAACCCCTCCCTCCCCACGCCCACCTTCAGTATCCCATTGACCATTGAGATGGCAACTATAGCTCCATGCAACCTGATGACTTGGCCAAATGTTGTATTGATGAACTTAGAAAAGATGCTTAAATCATTCTACATGTAGATTATTTCTACATTTCTTTTTCTTTTCTATTTTTTTTTTGAGACAGAGTTTCACTCTTGTTGCCCAGGCTGGAGTGCAATGGCACGATCTTGGCTCACTGCAACCTCCACCTGCCCTAGATAACCTTTTTTTTTTTGAGACAGGGTGTTTTTCTCTGTTGTTCAGGCTAGAGTGCAGTGGCACGATCATGGTTTGCTGCAGCCTCAAACTCCTGGGCTCAAAGGATCCTTCCACCTCAGCCTCCCAAGTAGCTGGGACTATAGGCACACCACTGTACCTGGCTAATACTTTTATTTTTGCAAAGACAAGGTCTTACTATGTTAACCAGGCTGGTTTTGAACTCCTGACCTCAAGCAGCCCTCCCACCTCAGCCTCCCAGATTGCTGGGATTATGGATGTAAACCACTGTGTCTGACCAATAACCACTTTTAACTCTATAATTTTACCTGGTTTTGACATTTATATAAATTGGGACATGCCTAGGATTGGAATTACTGCTTCATGTGATATGCATATTCAACATTAGACAATTTTTTCTTCCTTTTTTTTAATTTTGAGAAACAGGGTCTCACTCTATCTGGGCTAGTCCCAAACTCCTTGGCTCAAGAGATCCTCCCACCTCAGCCTCCCAAAATGCTGGGATTATCAATATTAGTATATTACTGTACATTTTTTCCAGTGTGACTATATGAATTTATATAGTCTTCAGCAGTTTCTGAAAGTTTTCATTACGACACATCCTTGCCAAGAGTTGATACTGTTATTGTTCTTTTAAATTTTAGCCATTACGTAAAAAATTTTGGAGCCTAAAATTTTTTAATGGCCAGTTCTGCAAGGATTTCCCCCATTGGATTTTTTTTAAGAAAAAACCTTTTATTTTGAATTTTAGACTTGGATAGAAGTTGCCAGAATAGCAAAGAAAGTTCTCATGTACCTGTCACCTAGCCTACCCTGGTGATAACATAATATCTTATATAACCATGGTATAATGATCAAAACCAGGAAATTGAAATTTTTACAGTTCTGTTAACTAAAGAGTGGACCTTATTCGGATTTCACTGGTTTGATGCTACGTGTGTGTGTGTATTTGAAACTTTATTACATGAATAGACTTGTGTGACCATGAGGTGAGTAAATGGGCCTTCAGGGGTATGACAGGGTAAGCTGATGGCAAGGGAAAGCTAGTAGACTCTATAGTACTAAACACAATGTTATTTAATATATGAGTTGCTTTTAAAAATATTATATCAAAAGTCAGTGATGGGAAATACAGCTAGTTACTGTAGCTAAACACCCACACAACTGGATGCAGTGGCACGTGCCTGTAGTTCCAGCTACTCAGGAGGCTGAGTCCAGGAGTTTAAGTTTGGCCTGAATGAAATAGCAAGATCCTGTCTCTATAAAAACAACAAAAAGCTGGGCACAGTGGTTTACGCCTGTAACCCCAGCACTTTGGGAGGCCAAGGTAGGCGGATCACCAGATCAGGAATTCAAAACCAGCCTGGCCAGCATGGTGAAACCCCGTCTCTACTAAGAATACAAAAAGTAGCCAGGCATGGTGGCATGTGCCCGTAATTCCAGCTACTCGGGAAGCTGAGGCAGGAGAATCACTTGAACCTGGGAGGCGGAGTTTGTGGTGAGCCGAGATGACGCCACTGCACTCCAGCGTGGGCAACAGAGTGAGACTCAGTCTAAAATAACAAACAAAAAATCCCACTCTCACACA